CCTAGAGAAGCAAGAACAGTTGTATTCATCTATACCAAAATAAAACACAGGAGGAGGTGGGGGGAGGGGGGATACATGATGGGTCTTATAAGAATGTATAATGATCCAACAATTTTCAAAACCAAAGATGGCAAATATATATCACTCCACTGCTCAAGCCCTTGGCAGATATCTCTGTTAATCTCACACTCTTTCTCATAATACAGTGTTCTTGGCAGCCATTACCAGAGGATTAGAGTAAACACACCAATAAAATCTGTTTACTATTTCTGTTCTACATTCTCTAAATGGCTGAGTGACGCTTACCTTTGTTTTTGTTGATTTCTTTAAAGTTCCTGTTTATCCTGCCCATAGTCTTCTTCACTTGATAATAATCCCTGTTCTCACTGAGATCTACCCCCATTCTTACCAATCTGTGAGTGCGGTACTTGTCAAACTTTAACGTGTTTGCACATTATCAGAGGACCTTGTTAAAATGGATATTCTGATTTGGTCAGTCTGAGAGAGGCTAAGATTCTGCATTTCCAACAAACTAACGGTGATGCTGATGCTGCTGGTCCACCAAGCACATCTGGAATAGGGTTAGCTATCTGTAACCTAAGAGTAAGTTTGGGGGGATGGTGGGGAGATAAGGGTAAAAGGAAAGCACGAAAAAACATATCAAGAACCCACACTCTGGGGCGCCTGGGTGGCTCAGTTGGTTAAGCGACTGCCTTTGGCTCAGGTCATGATCCTGGAGTCCCGGGATCGAGTCCCACATCGGGCTCCCTGCTCAGCGGGGAGTCTGCTTCTCCCTCTGACCCTCTTCCCTCTCGTGCTCTCTATCTCTCATTCTCTCTCTCTCAAATAAATAAATAAAATCTTTAAAAAAAAAAAAAAAAAGAACCCACACTCTGAAACCTGACGGTTAACTATATTTTAGTTTCTGAACTTGGCTTCATCTGTAAATTTTTGGCTTTGCCAAGACTTTCACTGGCACCTTATTAACCCTCCAACCCGGTTTCCTAAGCCTCTCTTAGATCACATTTCAAGGATGTCATATTACTGAGGTAGATTGCCACTGACTGCCATTGCTGCTTGGGCCATTTCTCACTAAGGGTGACACAATACTCATTTTAAAATATTTCCTAGTGCGCCTGGGTGGCTCAGTTGGTTAAGTGACTGCCTTCAGCTTGGGTCATGATCCCAGGGTCTTGGGATCGAGTCCCACATCAGGCTCCCTGCTCAGCAGGGAGTTTGCTTCTTCCTCTGACCCTCCCCATTCTTGTGCTCTCTCTCTCTCTCTCAAATGAATAAATAAAATCTTAAAAAATTAAAATAAATTTTAAAAATATTTTCTAAAGGAAAATTGAGAAATATCAATAATACCAGTCAACAAAATGCACAACAGAAAAATATTTTCAATATTATAGCAATTATACCCAAAATCTATAAATATTCAGGAAAGGCATGCATTCTACATATTAATTTTCATTCACACCTTGTTTAACTGCATGACAAAAAATGTATTCACACTTTAGAAGCTACACAATCTTTTATGTCCTAAATATAGACCATTTATTGTCTTTTTCTAAATTTCAATGATCTTGATTTAAAATTCCTAGAGCCAAAAAGAGCAAAAAAGCTACTCCAAGTCTTTTCCAGGAAAATCCTCTTTTAATATTAATTCTTAAATCATTCAAAGTCATCTCCAATTAAAAAAAAAAAAGGAAGAGAAAAAGAACTCTATCTCCATCAGTTAAGACTTCACCTTTACTTCAAAGTTCACTTCCTTTTTTTCTGAAAACTGCCCCTTAAGTTTTCTTAGAGCCTATTAATAATGAAGTAATGAAGAAAACAAAGAGTGCTTTTGCTCCTTTCTGTCCTTTTTTAAAAAGGATACTACCATCAATGACTGGGAAGTTCAGAACTTTTATATTTACCACAAAAGAGTCTCATAAATAAATTCAATAAAGCAAAAGCTTAAATCATCACAGAAAACTCGGGTGGAATGAGTCATGACCTGGACTGCACCAATGGGGAAAACAACAATCAACACAAAATTTTAAAACCAGAAGGCATTCCTTTATTTTCCTAATCAACCAGGCTAGAAAGAAATACTTGCACATGGATTCTAGAGAGAAATAATATCTGCTTTGCACAGAATTTAAGAACTAAAAGGGCCTTAGAAATCATTTATACCAATCCTCTCATTGTGTTGGTTGAAACTGAGGCCCAAAGAGGGTTAAAGAAGGAAATAGTGAATTCACCAAGCTCATCAAGAACCTCGAGAAGTCATTTAAGTTAAATAATAGATAAGAAAATAAGCATGCCTCTGCCCTAAGGGCCAGGTTCAACAGCATAAAATACATTAGTGAAATAAAAAGCAAATACTAACCAAAGAGAAACATCTTGTTCTAGCAAGAAAAACTGTCCTCTAGCTTCCTTGCCTAAGAGTTGAAAAAAATCCTAGCACATCAAATCTGATTCACTAGGTAGTTCTTTTCACCCTTTTTTGATACAAGTTCCCACTATTCTACATGACTCTGACCATCTTTCATTTCCTCAATGAGATGCATATTTTGGGGCTTCAATTATACTATATAGGGTTTGCAAAAGCAGAGACTGTGTCATTATCTTTTGTATAACTCCAAAGTATATCTAGTTTGATAATATATTCATAGAGAGTCTTAACCAATGCTTAGTGAATTAATATATAATCTAATACAACCAGTTCTCCTGTATTAGATCTCCTTTGTTTAATTTTCATTAGAAGTTATGCTCGAAGGGAATTTCTGACTGATATATTTTATGGTTCCCTTCTCCAAGTCAAAAGCTATACAGCAGGCTTTATATATTTATTTGCTTAATAAATTATTGTTCACAGAAGTGATTATGGGAAACTATAACAGGGGCTGCATAAGTAGGGAGTTTGAGGAGTAAGAATAGGTAGAACATTCAAAGTTAACATTAATGGAAAGAATAAAATACTAGTAATTTTCTAAAACTGTTAGAATATTTACATACAAGATGAATTAGTAAAACAAGTAAGTTCATAGAGGCCCATCCTATTTAATACTTTTATAATTGTCCCCCAAAATGGAACTGAAGAAGTACACATCAGGACTGGACACAGGGAAGGCTGTCAACCCCACAGAAAATAAGACTTGAGTTCAAAGTAATCTTTAGATAAATATTCCACTTAAAAAGGATAAAATAGTAAGGAGTTTAAAATAAACTTAATAATACAATTAAACCAACAATGATAGAAAATAGGAAAAGATTGGCAAATAGAACACAGAATAATAATCTGAAAATGAAACAGCAGATATCTTATTTAAATCATATTCATTATATAAGAACAAGTAACAAAAGTATATTACTTCCAAATAGGAATATAATTTTTTTATTCTAAAAGTAATGGTCAGGGGCGCCTGGATGGCTCAGTCGGTTAAGTGCCCGACTCTTGATTGCAGCTCAGGTCATGATCTCAGGGTCGTGAAATCAAGCCCCACATTGGGCTCCGCACTGGGCGTGGAGCCTCCTTAAGATTCTCTCTCTTTCCCTCTGCCTCTCCCCCCACCACACACGCATTCTCGCTCTCTCTAAAACAAAAAAAAGGAACGGTCAAACACTTAACACTGAAAATTCTCACTAGTAAGTATTTGTTTGATAATTGCATATTTTAAAAGACTCAGAAAATCAGCAACAAAAAGTCTAATGGTCCAATGAATCAAGATTAAGTATTGGGCTATTTTTAAAACTAGAAAATTGAGACATGTTATAGTTGTCAAAAAGTATATTAGCATTAAAAAATATGGAAAAAATTATACAAAGCAGTATGTGAAGGGAGATGAAAACTAGGGCTAAAACTTATTAAGCTACTCTTATAAGCTTAGCCTATAGGCTGGTCTTTTTATGAGGTAGGCACTTGATTTGCAGTATTTGTGTGGGTGTGTGAGTGCACACGTGCACACACATATACACACACACTCCTATGTATATATATGAGTGTTTTTTTAAACTCATTTAATCCTTAACAATAACCCAGAAAGGAATTAATATTATCATTATTCAGATGTAGAAACTGAAGCTAAGATTGTCCAGTCTTCCATGGCTTCAAATGACACAGCTGGGATACGAACAAGCTCACCTGAATCTTAGATCAATTAAGAAAATAAGCACTTTCTCCCATCTCTAGAAGATATAATTCTTAAATTATATCAGAAAAAACTTAGTTTATATAAAGAAGAAACTTTTTTTTTTTAGATTTTATTTATTTATTTGACAGAGAGAGAGACAGCGAGAGAGGGGAACACAAGCAGGGGGAGTGACAGAGGGAGAAGCACGCTTCCCGCGGAGCAGGGAGCCCGATACGGGGCTCGATCCCAAGACCCTGGGATCATGACCCGAGCTGAAGGCAGACGCTTAACAACTGAGCCACTCAGGCGCCCCCAGAAAAGTTACTTCTTGATATGTGCCAAATCCAGATAGATATGACATTAAAACAATAATAAATAAATAATAAATAATGTTTCCAATGTTTTAAGCATTCACCTGCTTTCTAGCCCAGACTAAGTAAAGACAGCCCTAACCTAAATAACCTAAATAACCCTGTTAGAATTATGCCTTTATAATTCCAGGTGATCTATAGCAGCTGTAGGACTTATGCTTAAATAGTTTTAGCATGAATCAATAAAACTGTACAGGAATTGTACAAAAACCATTAATTAACCTTAAAAATTTTTCAAATAAAATTCAGCACAAATTACCATCATTTTAACACATGGAGTTTTAAGGGTAGAGTAAGGGACAAAGGGCTGAGAAAGAGGAGAAAGCAAGTCCCGTTTTCTTGCACATTTGGTGGCTCGCTTTAATGCTCTTCCCACCAATAACTTGTTATAAAATTACTGATAAAATTCCAAAGACCAATATTCTCAAACATTCTAATTATAAATAAAGCCGAGAGACAAGACAGCAAAAATGGCTAAAGAAAATACAAAATGAAATGTAAGACATACCTGAGATACATCCTCAAGTTGAGGTTTTCCATAAAGGCTAGAAAGACTCTCTGCTCGCATGAGATACTCTGCTGTTCTTCTCTTCACAGCTTCTCGACGGGTCGGGCTTGACTCTCCTGAAAGGAGAAAACAAAGCCAGGACATGTGAAAAATAAACAAATTTTCTTTTATCCAATCTAAAGATTTTTTTTTACCCAGTTCATCACTTGTTCACATTTCTAACTAAAAAGAAGAGAGATTCAAAACTGGAACAGACATCAAAGTTATTAGTATTAGCAAGGTGTAAATATTACCACCATAAATTGATTTATCCAAATTCGGAAATTTTCCTATTTAAATATATAGAGAGAACTTGATATCTTTTATAGGAGATATTGATATAAAAGAAATGTAGTATAAAAAAGCTCTGCAAACAGAAAACTAGCCTAGTCCAGGCAGTATGCAATTCCAATTCAACAAATTGGGACTAAATGCAGTAGATGTGTAGTAAGAGCCATGACATGGATTTGATATGCTCTAAAAGTACCACCGAACTGGAGAATAAAATTACTTAGGGTAACTCTGAAGTCACTCTGATTTTTGTAAGCTTCATGGTTTTTTCATTAACAACAAATTGTCATCCACCTTACAACTGAAAATAAGAATGTAACTGAAATGTATGTTAACCAACTGGAATTAAAATAAGAACTTAAAAAAGAGGAAAAAAATGTAATTGAAACCCCTGTAATATATAATTATAGGAAAATGAACAAGTCATTGACCCTGTCTGGCTCTGTTTCTCTAAACAAAGGGTATCCAAAGAACTCAAGACCTTGAAAAAGAGGTGGTCTAGCCCATTAAGGAAGTACTGGGCTCTCTCCTCTCTAGACTGGAATGATCCTAAGCTTTTATCCATTTTATATACCTGACTGTGATACAACATTTCGTTTGAAGAAAGGATTCCATGACTGAAAGTTTGAAAACTACTGTACTGTATGATCTCTAAGGCTCCTTTCATAAATAATATTCTATACATTCACGACTCATTTTTATCAAAGCACTTCATACACAGTACTTTTCTGCATTTTCTGAATGAAGTTAACCAAAAAGCAAGTATCATACAGTGGAAAGTGCCCTTGATTACATTCTGGAAACCATGGTTATCTAAATTCTGGCTCTGCCTCTCACTAGTCATGTGACCTATGATAAATCATCTCAATTCTCTGACCCACCTCCTCATTCTCTAAATATATACTTCAAATGACTGCAGAGATTAAAGGAGACTATACATAAAAGACACCACAACAAAGATGGCTGTATACAGGAAGCACTAAACTGTAAAGGTTTTCAATCTTGGCTTCTCTCTAAACCAAATCCTACAAAATAACGTTCCTGTGTTGCTGAAGTGAACTGAACTATAGTAAAGCAGGCATTTTCCCCCCAAAGACTACTAGTAGAAAAACCTTATTTCTGCCTAGAATAGCATCTTCTATTTCTTCCGGGCAATGGCCCTTACTTCCCCCCTTTGTAACCCTCCACCTCTTCCCTTCCACTACCAGCCCTTAACAAGGTGGAGTGAAAGAAAACTGCATTCATGTTTCAGATCTCTGTCCCTCTGCCCCCTACTAGTCAGTCAAGGGTGAGTCCTCTGTCACAAGCTGGACCAGTGACAGAACCCCACCCTCTTGGCCACAGTTGGAAAAGGGAGGAATTGGCCCAACACAAACTGGGCCAATCAGTCCCTCTCTGCTATTGACGCTGGAAATAAGAGGACTGGGAACTGCCAGCAGCCTTAGTTTCTGCCAATGCGCAAAGAACCAACCAGAAAGAGGGACTTTAACAGAAAGAAGCAGTTATGAGAGACAAAAAAAGGAATCCTGGTGTGACTGGGGTCCCAGATTTCAGCGGAAGCTACATTCCTGCCATTCTTTGCCTACTGTAGCTCAAATGTGGATTTTCTCACATGCAAACCGAAGAATCCAGACTGAATAGAGCCCTCAAAGAAAAACAGCAAGCAAACTGGGATTGCAATTTTGCTAAAACAAAACGAAACAAAACAAAATCTTCCTTTCACAGTTCTTACATTACTATTCCATCTCTTCTCTCCTTTATGAGTAACTCAAAAATATAACTAGTCTTGTGGGCAAGAATCTCTATCACTTCTTAACCATGGAATAGTCTACATTTATTAACTCTCCAACTCCTCAAACTTCAATTAAAATTAAAATATCAATATGATTCCTGCCTCTGTCCTAAAATTCACTGAGTTTCTAAACCCTATCTTTTATTTTTATACTATGTATCTATGAAAGTGACCTAGGTAATTGAAACATGTTGTGAAAGTAAAATGTGCCACATAAATAGGAAACATTATTTCTACACATTACTGCTCCTTTAGTTTTGAGTTTACTGTTCATGGACTCTGCTACTTCCATTATCATGAGCACTTCTCATTGCAGGTCCTACCTTTCATGCCCTAATTTAAATCCCCCACTTAAAATTTCTGATTCAGCATAGGCTAAAAACTGTAACAGAAACTATGGCAATTTAGTTTTTTAACTCAGTGTGATTACAAGCTTTAACACAACTTCAAAATTTGCTTTATTCAAAAAAATTAATTTGTCTCCCAAAATAATATGAAATTCAAAACTGCCAAGACTATGGAGCACCTAATTCAAGCTAGAGTTAAAACCACAGTTTGTAATCAAATCATTGTTTTTTAAACTTTGGGTATCTCTGCTGCTTTCTAGGCAGTCTCCATAGTAACAGAAACAAGAACCGGAAGCCAGCAGTTGAAATGGACTCCTGCTGCTGACAGTGGTTCTGCTTCCATGGAAACAACAATGAAGTGATGGAATACTGGAAGGCTTTTTAAAAGTAACCTTAAATATACATACTATGACTCCTTCCCTACCAGCCCCTTAAAAGTAGGTCACAACCACTAATGATCAATAGTAGTGGCCAAGGATGAAAATCATCTCTTGCAGATTTCTACTGCTGGACACTTACTGAGGTTTTTGAAGTACTAGGAAGAAAAGATTAATCTATGGATTTCCAGAATAATTTTAACTGATCAAATTATTGATAAATATGACTTTAAACAGATATCAACTGATTAAAAATTTTCCATCAACTCTAACCTTAATTTCTTAATCTTCATGTTAAGACACACACACAGCCCATAATGAATATTTTTCAAGGAAAATTAGGTTATCTGGAATTCAACTTTTAATCCCATATTGGGTCATGTAGCCATTATTTCTTCAGTATTATATCCAGGTAGACACTTAATAAATGCTTTTAAAAATGGATACATATTTTACATTCTATTAAAGATAAACCAGTACCTTCATTAAGTTTCTCTACATTTCTGTTAATAATTTGGATACAGTAAGAATTTCCACCGGGCTCTGGCATTCAAAAGAAAAAACTTACTCTCATTATTTACTAACCTTTATGTCAAAAAGTTCCACTGGACCAGAAAAAATGTCTTATGTATATTGTGTCAACCCTATCAATTTCAGATCAGGAGACAGGATGGATACAGGGTGATTATAGAGTATGATCTGTGAAAGAATAAGGGTGTAGCTGAACAGAAATGAGAAAGTCCAAAGTTGTCCCTGAAATTTTTAGAAACACTGCACTGACTATCCTGTGTGTCTCTGAGCACCAACTCTGACTTAAGTTACTAAGTTTTATATAAGGCACAGTCTACAGATAATGGAATCATGAAATTCTAATTTATATAAAAAGCCATCACCACTTGGCACTCCTTCATAATAATATTAAATCCTGTTTGTAAGAGGTATATTACCTTCCTTATTCAACTAAGGAACTTAAGGCTCAGGAACGTGGAATGTCTTTCTTAGCAAAGTTAATATGAGACTAAACTGAAACCTGGTCTTATGATACCATGCTTCAGATGACTGAATTTGAAGTGGATTGCACTACTGTTACTGAGTAGAACAAGAAAAATACAAAGCATGGGATAAGTACGAGTGAGTATGGGAACAAAGATGAAGAGAAAATAAGCATAAGCATAAGAGTTGAGATGGGAGCCTATCAGACAAGATAGCAGAGTACAATTAGACAGAAAGAGACTGAGATGACAGACAAGGACACAGGAAAATTAGAGCTACAAAGGGGTATAAATTTCACACTGTGTGAAAGAGAATGGGCCTTTCTAAGAAAAAGTGGTCTCTCAAAACATCCTTGTTACCCAAGGATTTCTTTGGAAAACACGGGCCTTTTCTCATTTACCCATAAAAAAACCAAAAGGCATTTTTATTCACAGAACTAGTGAAAATCAATTTCAGAAACTAGAATGAAAAGTAGTTCTTCCAATTCTGTTGTTCTACCCTTAGCCACCAAAAAGAATATCGCAAATGCCTCATCACTGGCTCAACAAAAGAAAAGCAATGCTGAAGGAAAAATTAACAATGTTAGACTACTTGAAAGTAAATACAGGGCGCCTGGGTGGCTCAGATGGTTGAGCGACTGCCTTTGGCTCAGGTCATAATCCTGGTGTCCCGGGATTGAGTCCCGCATCTTCTCCCTCTGACCCTCCCCCGTCTCGTGCTCTTTCTCATTCTCTCTCTCAAATAAATAAATAAAATCTTTAAAAAAAAAAAAAGAAAAGAAAAGAAATACGTATTTTATGGAAAATTTTAAGGGATTTTTCAGAGTATTTTGAATATACCCGATTTTTGCTACTCGCACAGAATTTAATCCCCACATAAGACTCTACTTAGGCACATCTTATATTCTTATCTCTATTTCTCTACTCCAACAAACACTCTCCAATAGCCCCTCTGCCACTGTATTCTTGGTCAAACATGCCAGGTTTTTAACTCAGATTTATCACATTAGAAAGAATATTCAAATCAATGTGGGTTTGAGGGAATGAGTTTTTGTTTATTGGTGCCTTTTTTTTTTTAACAACTTTAGTAATGTAAAAAAATATGCCTGTTTGAGATGGCCTTGGTGGTTACAGTTGCTTTTTTTTTTTTTTTAGTGTTGATTTATTATAGTTAATGGGTTTTTTGTTCTTTTCAGGTATAGCCTACCATTTCTGACTTATGCTAAGTGTTCTGACAACAAAAGGCAACCTTGAGAAAAACAGTAATTTATGGTTCTA